GTGAGATAAGGCAAAATAACCCTGATAGTATTCAGGCAGAAATTCGAGATCTTCTAGCTACTCCAATTTCATTACAAGCAGTTGGTTTTGGCAAAAATATGATTAGTAACATATCTTCTCAATCTTCTACTTCAAATATGTCAACACATACCTCGCTTTCTTCATCATATCATGAATATAACATACGTTCTAATTCTGCTGCTCAAAAAGCAGCATATGAAAAAATTCAAATTGCCAAAAAAAAGGTTATTGAATTTGAATCTTTATATAACATGGCTACTGAAATTAATATTCAGCGTGATCTTTTTGCTCAAATACAAGAAAACAAAGATATTATAAGTACAAATGATAAAAAGATTAAATCACTTCAAAAACATGCATATAATCAAGCTAAATCAGAAGCCAAAAAAAGAAAACAACTTGATGAAGGTATAGTTGAATGGTGGGATGGTCCTGGAAGACCATCAATTCTTGCACAAACTCCAGATCTACTTGAAAAAATACATAATTGTATTGAATTTGGGGAGGCAGATCAAAAAAGAAGAAAAACAGTAATCAAAGTTAGAACGATTAGCCACTTAAAAAAAGAACTCGAAGAGCGATATGAACTTTATCTTAACAGACAAACATTATCAACTTATCTTTGGCCAAAACATCTGAATACTTTTTCAGCAAAGAGACACCATCATCCAGCAATGGTACAAGTTCGTTCAGTATCACGTAATGAAAAAGTTAACTACCCAGATAGTTATTACTGTCTTGCTTCAGTAAAAGGTGCTAGAACATTTGCTGCAACATTTCCCAATCATTCAATAATAATATCACAAGATGACAAATCAAAGGTTCCTTTGGGAATTCCAGCAGTTGGAAGAACATTTAAATTAATAGAAACAATAAATGAACCCATTTCTGTACCTGATCATGATTTTTCTTTAGGCTCCAAAATGAAGCTTATTTCCTCTGTGTATCTTCTAATCAATCCAAAAGATACAAATGATACTTTTCGCTCAGGGCACCTTACAATTTATATCCGACCTGAATATTTCATAGGTATGTTGTGTATCAAATTAATATCTGCATTAGAATAAAAAACTATAATTCCATTAATACCTACTTAACCCTAACATAAGCTTCACCCTAATCCTAATAAAATTCAGTATTTAAATTTTATCTGACGCGAATTTTAATTTTATGTACAATAGGTACAACTGCATCAACACATATAGCTGATTTAATTTCAATTACAAATTCCAAAGACTATGATGAAATTATTAAAATAGAAGATAGTGTTAAGCCATTGTGGGTTTTGTTGGTAGATGGTAAACCTGACAAAAATCCAAGATACTTAAAAAATATTACAGAATACTGTAAACTTTTTCATTTTTTAGATCTTGATTATTTAACAATACGTACACATGCACCAGGCCAATCAGCCTATAATCCTGTGGAACAGAGTATGTCCTCTCTTTCATCTAAGTTAGCTGGAATTGTACTTCCTATTGATCACTTCGGTACTCACTTAAACTCTCAAGGACAAGTTATTAATGAAGAATTAGCTATAAAAAATTTTCAATTTTTAGGGGAAAAGCTTCGTGATCTTTGGCAACGTGACAAAATTCATGATAAACCTATTAAGATTACTTATCTAGATAATCATACTGACATGCTCGCCAATGATGATATTTCATGGCAATGGATTGAATATCATTGCCAAATTTGCTGTTATTCGCTCGATATTAGAAAATGTATTAATCGCAATTGTTGTAAACCACCCCGGGCACCAGAGGCAGCAATTCTACTGCAAGAAAATAATAGATTTTTACCTCCTATGATCCAAGGGCGTGATCAGCATTTTTTGAATCCAATTCACATTCTTGAATACTCTAATTGGCTTAAGATTCCAGCATATGACAAATACTGCCCCACAATTTCAACAGAAATGCATCAGCGTTTATGCTGCTCAGAGTGTGGAAAATATTTTCCTACTTTGAAATTTATTCAAAATCATAAAAAATCTCAACATGGAAGTTGTAGATATCAAAATTCTAATTCTGCTACCTTTGAATTTGTACAATCACACCAATTACATGAAGAAATTGGTTTTGAACATAGCCTTTCTGATAGTGAACCATTTTTTTAAGTATAATTTAAACTTGGAAAAAATTTTAAAAAAGGAAATTACAACAATATACTTGATTATTAATATTAAAATTGTTATAATTTCCTTTTGTAGTTTTGCCTGAAACATTACGTGGTATCATTATTATTCTTGGTATATAGATATTTCTAATAAAAAAAGAAAACAAGTTAGTAATGCTTAAATATATTCAATAATCTATTTTGATTAATGATTACTTAGCTTTTGCGAATGTGATTTTATAAAGGCAACTTAAATTAAAAAAAATACAAATTTAAGAAGTCAAATACTATTACTCTTAAAGTAGTTGTACTAAATAAATTTATAGAAGAAATATTAATAATATTTCATATATTATTTGATTAAGTAGCAAAAATATCAAATATATATATAATAGTTCTCCTAAAAACTTAAGTATATATTGCATTGAAGGTATTTTTGTAGTTCATTAAATTTGAAATTTAAAGTGAGTTAATTTTTAATTAAAGCGATAGTTAATTTTAAAATTTATAGTGATAGTATTTTGAAAATTTATATAATAGCAATAGCGATAATCAATTAAGCATTGTGATCAAACTCTTGATTGAACTAATAAATTTATAATTAAATCAAAAGGGTCAAATTATTAAGAGAAATATATTAGCTTCTGCATAATACAAAAGCAACACAAATGGTTAAAAGACATCTTATACACGGTGCCGTTTACTTTACCGACAATCATTTCACTGACAAATCATTTAACCAACATCACATAGGGTTAGGATAAGCATTTTATTAGTCACTGGTAAGTCACTGGTATATATTGTTAGTAAATAGTCACTTGGTGTAATGTTGTTGAAATAATACAGATCTGCTTTTTTTTAGTATAGTATATACATACATACGTATAAAAATTTCAGTTTAGAGATTGATTCATTTCGAATTCAATCTCTACTTCAGTGGTGATATATACGTAGCTTTGTTACTTGATTGGTTATTCTATTAAGACCTGACTAAACCATTGCACCCCCTCCCCCCCCCTAAAAAATCACCTGATTTCTGCCCATTCCCTTAAAAAGGCTATATCTATCTTGTTAGTATTGCAGTGTTCAAGAAGAAGTTGAAGTTTTAGAGCTTGATTAATATCTTGTATGTTGTGATTTAGAATATTTAAAGTAGTTGTAGAAGATAGTGAATCAATTGAGGAGGGGTTGTTATTGTTTATTAGATATTGGATATGATGTAGACATTAATAGAGTATTAGTTGGATGTGTGGTGAAGGCTTGGTTAATGTTGATATAGGTATTGACAGATGTGTAGTTGTCAAAGATCTGCCATTCTGGGTCTAGTAGATCAGGAAGTTGGAGTAAGTAATTAGAAATAGCATTGAAGGTGAAGTGGGTTTTGAGTTTAGTAACAATATTTGGAGCTGCCTTTCAATCTGTGATGGGTAGAAGTTGTATTAATGTCAGATTAATATGGTCAAGTTGACAGATTAGTTCGTTAAGAGTGGTCGGTAAGTGAGGCAGTTATCAGAGGATTGTTTTTGTGGAATGTCAATCCAGTGAGCTGGGATTTTGAAGAAGAAGTAGTAATTACATAGTTCACAGGATAAATCTACAAGTTGCTTTGGTGAAGTAATAGAGATGGTAATATTTATCTGCAGAATGTTGAGAGGGTCGTGAGGAAGTTTTGGCTTATTTGTAGGATTAACCATCATGTATATTAGTGGAAGAGGGAGGGTGAATTTGTAGCGATCATTGATTTCAGTTAAGAAATTTTTTGCAATTTCTTTGTTATTAATAGTGTAAGTGTAACTGATCTTGGTTTGAATAGTAGCAGGATCATTGGGTAGATGTGGTTTGTGGGCAATATAGTCATTTGGTAGTC